TATATATATATATATATATATATATATATATATATATATATATATATATATATATAGACCTGCTAAAGTACTCCCGAGCGCATTATAAGCTAGCGTACGCTCCGGCCACCCAAGCCAACCAGCCATCGGCGGGGTAATTAGCCCGACCGAACCATCTATTCCTCTGTTCCGCGAGCGGTTAGACCGGATGGAAAATCCATCGTAATATATTAACGAGACATAGTAAGGGAAATAGACATGTGGGGCGGGGGTGACGCGCATAGCTGTAGTAACAGAAATTAAATGTGTTATCATATTCACTAGTATGCTTACCTTCATTTGCGAAATCATGGGCCATAAATCCATCGTAATGTGTTAATGGAATGTAGTAATGGATCCTTTCATTACACCTCTCGGCATAAATCTAGCTACTATCCACGATTAGGAAAATTCACATGTAGTAATGAGTTAATGGAATGTAGTAACAGAGTGAAGGGAACATAGTAATGTTCTGATGTCTATTACCATCATGAGTCGTGTGGCTGTAGTAATGAAAATTAAATTTGTTACTATATTCACTAGTGTTTTTACCTTCATTTGCTAAAGCATGGGAGAAAAATCCATCGTAACAAGTTCATGGAATGTAGTAATGGACCATGTTCATTGCGCCTCTCCACATAATTTCTGCATAACGTAGCTGTGCACGATTAGGAAAATTTGCATGTACTAATGAGTTAATGGAATGTAGTAACAGACTGAAGTGAACCTAGTAATGTAGTGATGTCTATTATCATCAGCGTTCTCTTTTACGAGGTTTCTTCACTTTTTACTAACATGCACTATGCATGGTAATGCTACTTTCGATATATGATAAACCAATTACTAGATGATCTTTCATTTACCATTAGAGGACCTAGTAGTGGTGTCTGTGGAAGCCTTTCAATTCCATTACCCTATATGCTAGTACTTTTACAGTTTAGTGGCAGGAGGCGTGGCTCTTAGTGCGACGCGTGGAATCCGTAAAGCATTTATCTCGTTACCATATACATTGTTTTTTTACTGTGATTAATTAGCAAACGGAGATGCCGCGCAGGGGTGGGGCGCAAGGGAGGGTAACAAAAATTAGACCTGTTACGATATTTGCCACTTGCTTTTACCCTCATTTTCTCTACTATGGCGGATGTGTGGCTGCGCCCAGCCCGAGCGGCTCACCGAGACCGGCGCGTAGGATTAGATGTTTGCGCGCACGCTTAGTTTAGCGCGACCGTATATATATATATATATATATATATATATATATATATATATATATACACACTAGCAAAAAGGGCCCGTGCGTTGCACCGGGAGAAAAAAAATCATAATCTCCAATGGCCATGACTATATTTTGTTGCATCACCGAGATACACAATCACTCTCAATTTCATGAAATCATGGGCATTTTTAAACTCGTGCACATACCTACAATCGAGAATAATTTTCAAATCCGTGAACATTTTTACAAATTTTTGAATATTTTCTAAGACCAAGAACATTATCTAAATTTATGAAAGTTTTATACAATTTGCAAACATTTTTCTAAAATAGTAATTATTTTTCAAACAATTTTTTGAATCGGCGAACATTTCTAGAAATGACAGATATTTCTTCCTTTCATCAAATAATATCTAAACTCCGCTCGTGAGTAAATTAAAAATGTTTGTCACTACCACATGGATACATCCAACATCAAAGAGTTTATTTTTGACTTTCGAAATCAAAAGCAACATATACTCGCTAATTTTGTTCAACAATAACAGTAATTTATGATTTCCTACAGTTTAAAAAAAGCTCACATATCTATCTTGTGTGAAGAGATAGCTCTTCCAAATTGAGTAGTGGCCTGAATACTGAATTATTATTTTTGCTTTTCAGAGCTGGTAACTTGCTAACTTCACCCTGTTGTCTAATTTCTGGACACATTAGCCTACTCGCATAATATAGATAGAGTGACTTTGCTTCAGTTAATACATGCCTCTACTTCTAGTTCTAGTTGGTATAGTTGATTTCCAAAGAGAATGAAGTTCTACTATTTAGTATTGTCCTCGAAGTTACAAAGATAAAATACAAAGCAAGAGAGAACATATGATATACGTCCATGCCATCGTGAATCAGAATGACAAGGCTCAGTGTCTAATTGACACATTGCTATGAGTCCAAACTAACCAAGGTCTCGTCAATTCTGGGATTTAGAAATTGGAAGAATGGGGCTAAGTTCTAATAAAGCTTCTGTTATTGTTTCCAAAGAACCTAGGTGAGGAGGCAATATCTTTTAGATATAGTCAAGAACAGAATCGAACAGGCTCGCTAAATTCATTTCACTATTATGCATAAGGAATCCTTGTTAAATATACTTGTCTCTGCATCCGGAGTGGGTGATACAGATTAAGTACAATAAAAACATGTTTATGCACCCGGAGTCCTTGGTCCTTATAAGAACTTTAGTTCAGAATAATTCAGTGAAATGACCATAAATCTTCTGAAAGTAACGATATAAATAAGGGATATGAATAGGAAAATAAGCATATACACTGATTTTGAATGGACCTCTTCAAAAGTAAGTAATTGCTTAAATACTGAAGAAAAAATTATTCTTTTCAAAGCTGGTGACTTGCTAACTTCCCTCTCATCCTGCTACCAGTCAATAGACTATGTAAAAGAAAATAAAAGAAACAACAGAACCGCACCTACTACATATACATTATACCTCTAGACATATACTAAAGATGCAACCAAATTGCAGTACATTCTTCTGCTCTGGTTCAAGCTGCATGTTTCCTACATCCTACCTCAGCCAAAGAAACAACTTCAAGTCAATTCTAGGTAGCTGCATTGCCTATGTCTGAAACCCAACATACGATTGATATTCCCAGCTGCATTGTCTATGTCTAAAACCCGGCATACAATTGCCTTATGTGCTAGATTCTCAAGAGAAGTTTTATTGTCGCTTCTGCAGAAAGTAGAAGCATTATTACATAAATAATAATGCTCCAGTGGTGCAGAACTGGATTGCATAATAAGTTGTGGTACATTGGGCAACAGAGAAGCTATGCATTGGGTATTAATTATCTTCTGAAACTGTAGTACATACCTCAGGCGAAACATGGTCAGACGGAGTTCCGGTGAAGGGTGGAGCACGAGCGGATAGTGTTCCTGCTAAGTCGGCGGAACGGCGAGATTGGATGGATGCCGCCTGTGACCCGGTCATTCAGCAGTATCTAGGGGCCACTTCAGGGACTTCGTCATGCACAACTTCATCTCCATCGATCCCTGCCCCAATGAACACCTTGCCAGATGCCAGAGTTCCACACCAATGAACACCTTGCCAGATGCATGCCTATACAGAGGGAGTACACGTGAAAGAACATTAATTCCATGTAGTAATACTGCTTATGTGAATTAATTATGGTAAACAAAATTTCAGCTAAAATAAAGAAAGATTGAAAACAGTATAAATAAATTTTCGAATATTTTAGTTATTCATACAAACATGTTCACGAAATATGGCAGACAACCTCCATATCAACAAACATGCAACTATAGATAGTTACAACTAAACTTGTATGTCGTTGTCTTACTTCAAAGTAGGTGAGTACCTTGTCCAGCAGTGGCCTGAGCTTGGATAATTCATATCCTTGCACATCTATTTTTCCTACATGTATTATGACAATTTGTTCAGAAAAGCAGGATAACTAAGAAAAGATGAATATATAAAGATTTATATATTAGATCTCACATCATAAATCTCCAAACGATTTTGTGCTCCCACTCTCTGCCAGATGAGAAACTCTAGGCAATTTCCATGGAAATTTACCACATATCATGGAACTGGTATATTATATCATACCATGGTACACAATATTTCTCCTTTATCCTTTTTGTAATTCAAGCTTCAAAGAAATAGCCAATGAAAAGGTACTGGAAATGTCAAAACATTGGGCAAGATTTGTGAGAATGTCTGCTAGTATAACAATAAAATAGACAGATAAATAACCAAGCAATAAGTAGATGGTAAGAAACTAAGCATGGATGTGATTTTGAACCAAGCCTGAAGCTCTGTCTTATGAATTGAGAACAATGGTGAGTGAACCATGGAAAGCAACTCAATTTCCTTCTTGTTTTCTGCTTGCTTGTACATCTATTTTTGTCGTTCTCTCCTGTGGTCATGGAGTAAAATCAACATGCCATATATATCAATATTTTTGTTCATATTATCATGCACTGTGGTTCTAGGGAGTAAATTCTGAGCAGAACGGGCTAGCAGCACTGTACTTACTATATACCAACAATTTACTCGAAAGTAGCTGCTACCAAAAATATATACTGGTAAGCGACTGCTATACATGTGATTGCAGAGATGTTCCTCCAACCTGTACTGATCAGAGATTCTGAAGCAGAGCCAGCTACCTAACCAACATGCCTAGCAGACGAACACGATGTGGGGGTAAGCCATGGTTGCGAACCAAACACACAAGTCATGCCAGCATAGCAGACGGTGGAAGCCTGCAACAGCAATGCGTGGGTGAGGTCGAGACCGTCGGGCTCGCCGTCGCTGCTGTTGCACGAGTTTCCACCTCCATCGCCGCTCTCGAGGAAGTCGTTGACGAGCATGGCAGGTCCATGTCACTCTCGTGGCTGCCGTGGTGGCTCTGGCCCCTACCCTCCACGCATCCAAAGCCAGAGCTCACCTCTCTGGCTGCTCTGTTGACGAGCGCCCAGATTCAAACCGCAGGGGAGCCATGCCCCAGTGGCTGAATTCGTAGAGGAGGCCTGCCTGGATCGATGTTCATGCTTCGGCTGGGGATCGACACCGATGAGCAGCCTGGGTCTGAATCTGAAAGAGAGATTGGGTGTGCAAAGGGGATGAGGTGGGTGGCGGCGCCCTAGCATGGCCTCGGGCAGAGGCAGGGCCTGGACCGGCGTGACAGTGGCGAAAGCTAATAGGATGAAGATCGAGGGAGTGTGAGGTGGCTGCGGGCGTCGCGCTAGCCGCCACCGTCGGACTGTGCTTCGAGTCATCGCCGCTGCCTGACTGCTCTCTCCCAGCCTCCCAGGTAAGAGCCTCTCTCGATCTCGACGTACGAAGACCAAGTCGAGGGAGATCGACGAAAGAATAGGAAGGAGGCCGAGTCTGGTGCGGCAACGCATCGTTTGTCAGATTTCATGTTTGCGTGTTTTGCACATGACGTGGTTCCCCGAATTAGTATCACCCCGTGTATATGTTTTAAATTCAAAGTGAAAACGTAAATTCACGGGAAGAAACGTATTGTGACGGTGAACCCGACAAAGTCAATCCATGCGTTGCAACGGGAGAAAAAAAATGCCTCAATCTTAAAAACATGGTTCAAGTCCCCACACAGGTACACGCCCACCATTTGAACACAGCGGAGAAGCACTAATAGCATAAACCGTGAATATGAAATATTAATAAAGCTTAATTTCCCTGTTCAAGTTTAATAGTGCCAAAAAAAAGTTACAAAGGCACGCATTGTTTTGTACATGGATTGATAGCTACAGAGTATCTACTGCTAGTGTGGATTTTCTAGCTTGAATTGTACCCTTCCTGCATAGAATAAGAGATTTTTACTATGCCAAATCTCATTTCATGACATTAATAACAAAATTTTAAATTTTAAAACATTATCCTACTGTAACAATTTTAAATTAAATTGATGAAATCTAACAGGCTAATATTTCTTTTAGGTGAGACCCTATATTCATTTTTTTCTTAGGAATATTCAAAATCTCATTGTTAGTTTATTTAATTTTCTAAAATGAAGTTTTATTTTTTATATGATCTTCCTTGGTCATTGTACCTGAAATATGACTATGTTTGTAGGAAAAACAAAACAAAAACTTAAATGTGTAGTTAGTTTTATTTTATTTAGAAATACGAGCATACATGTTTTGATTGTTTGCACCTGCTTATATTTTTTTGGAAAGATGTTTTGATTGTTTGCACATAATATTATTTTTTGTTAACAAAAAAAAGCCTCAAATGTGTAGTTAATTTTTTCATCCACATGATTCTTCATGTCTCGGTTAAACCATCAATTGTCTCCAGGTTCCAAAGTTATAAAGGAGGCACACTATAAGAAAGATAAACAATAGAAAGAAAAGAAGCACAAATTTAACCATAGAAGAAAAAATGTTGCCTCTATACCTCTTCATCAAGGCGATTACCAGTTACAGTGAATACCCTTCTTTCAACGACTTCCTGGTACTCCTGCCCGATTGATTCTCTCATTACTTGCATCAGAGGGAAACAACACCGAATCACACACATTATACTATTCTATCTTCAGAGATATCAGGCTGATAGCATACTATCAATAATCTACCATAATGGTTAAGAAACATTTGTGTAAAGTTACTCAAAGTCCATAGGACAATTGGCAAAAACATAGTTGAGTAGTATCTTTCTTTTACTTTCTAGAACATATAAGCATTAGCGAAGTAACTTGCACTCTGCTAGATGTTCAGAATTCCTATGGGTTCTAGCCTGGATGGCTCATAGACATGGCAAAGTAGAGTGGTTTCTCCCTGCTGCTGCTCTATGAAGGTATATCAAATTAAATAGCCCTAGTAGTAAACAGAAATAAGGACTGGTTTTAACTTTTTGTGTATGTATCTAAAGAAAAGATTAGAGGGAACATTTATTCACAAGCAGAGGAGGAAAATCATCACATACATGCCAATTTGGACATTTCCAGTTGAAAACAATACCTGAAAATCATCCATCTGTTCCTTCATTTTCTTTTTCACTGCTCTGTAGAGAGAGAACAGAAAGCAGAGTGAACAAGGACTAATTCATGCAGGCAAGAAGAAACAAAATTGACAGAAAATTAATTTACCCAATAGTCTGTTCCCTTGATTGATCTACCGCAGAGCCCTTCCCGCATCCAGGTTTCTGCATGTTAGGTAAGTTCTGTAGCACAGCATAGGGGCAAGCAGCAAACCATAATCAGATACAGCTAGGAAAGAATAACAGACAGACATGAGCAAGGTTAAGTGAAAGCATACATACGCAGCACGTGATCAGCTAAGACAACTATTTGCGTACCAATCAATGTAAAAAAATACAACCTTTGTTCATTGTAACAATGATACGGTGCCAGTTTAAAGTACTTGTACCAGAAAAGAAGACACATACCATCTCATATTTTCCAGAGCTCTGAAAGTAAAAAACCAACAGGTGCAAGAATCGGAACAGAGAATAGCATAATCCACACTTTTCTTCATAACTGCCCAAAGAACGGACCATCGAACACCTTCCGTGCACGCTCCAGATCACCTGCCCGCAGCCCCGGATCAGCGTGTTGAAGGAGTAGATGTCTAGGACGACGCTCTCGTTGACACGGGCGTTGTGGATCCGCCTGGCCATGGCCCCATGGCCGCGCAGCAGTCCGGACCTGAGCCGCTGCATGCCGGTGGTCAATTGATCCCCGTCGACGACCCCGACGCAAGGATGTGCCACCTCGAGTTGAGCCGTCCTCCGCCTCCTCCACCGCCAGCACATGGACATGAACTCGTGGTCGCATTAGTCCCTCTCATGGGCGACAGGATTGACGGGAGACACGGTGGTCGCGTGCCCGTGCGGCTTGACTCGTCGTTTGTGGCGGCTTGACTCCCGCGTCCATCCTTCGAACATCTCCTCCCCGACCTCGTCATACTCCCCGCCGTTTTCCCCCAATCACGGCCTCCAGCAGCGCCATCTCCGGCTCCTTCCGTCGGAGCAGATGCAGCGGCGCCCACGAGCTCACGCTCGCGTTCAAGGAAAAATCGACCGGGTGGCGGGGTGGGGGTGGGGGTGGGGGAGTGGCGGCGGGGGTTGGGCTAGCGCCGCGCGGCGGCGGGGTCGTGGCAGGAGGCGGCGGCGTGCTGGAGGCGGAGATAGGATTGGGAGGCAGTGTCGTGAGGGTGGTTTTTTTTTATCTCGACCGTACCGGTTCGGCTGATTTGTTTCAAGTAATGCGGGTCTAATTACCAAAAACCACAGAGACTCTTTTGCAAAAGCGACGCGACGGTGAATCCGGAGACTCAATCCGTGCTTCCGTGCGTTGCAACGGAAAAAAAATATCACACGTGGTTCAAGATTTTAGTAATACAAGCACTGACTTGCATATGTTTAGTTCATTCAAGCACCGGCTCTTCTGCCATGACCTCTAAGCTCATCCTCGCTTCACTGTGAAGTCGATAGAGTATCCATAGTTACTACCAAGTGAAGCCAACTTTAGGATCTGCCTTTCCTGAAGGTTCATGTCAGTCAGATGGATACATTTCACTCATTAAACACAAATATTTGTGCACACTTTAGATTAAGCAAACATACAGCTTCAGGACCGCAAGCTAATTTGCGAAGGTAAGACTAATCTCCTGCAAGGCTGCAACCTCCCACACTTTGACGTCCTCCTCGACAACTCATGCCATGAATTTATCAACACCATTCAGTAGTTCATCGCTGAATACAAAGAAGGGAGACTAAATCTCGCCACCTGAACAATAAATTTATTTACCTCTGTTTTTCGCACTGAGCAGCAGTTGCACAAACTCTTTCTCCTACCTAATCGACTCCCCGTCTCCATCGCCACCGCCTTGTCCTTCCATCTAACAAGCTGAACCAAGAACCTCCAGTAAGCCATCTGATTTGGTTTTTTCATTCGCTGGCAAACTTTTTTTTTCTACATCATCATTTGCAATGCTTGATGGTGTTTTTTGTCTAAATCATCTTTGAAACTACACTACAACAAATTATGCTTGCAACTCCACACAATCAACCCGCTCTATGTAAATTGATTGCCTTTTCAAATCAAATTGTTCCTTTTAGTCAATTCCTGAATGTAGTGGACACAAAAATTTATCTACTGCTTCCGAGTTCAGGAGGGGAGAAGTGGAGCAAAACTGCAGCACAGCAGCTCCCAGCGAGATCCTGGAGCCGCAACAGGGACACCGGACACCCGTACAGTGGTCTGGCACCGGTGGTAGGAGAGCACACGCACGCGAACTCAGAACTGGCCTGCAAGACCTTGCCCCTTCCAGACCTCCGCGTGTGCTCCTACTCCGTCAACGATGGTGACTACCAGAGACCAGCGCTGGGGGGTCGGGGGGCTGACGGCGACCTTGTGCGCTGGGGGGCCGGGGGATAACGACGACCTTGTGCGCGGGGAGGGCGGCAGGCACCCGGGGACACCACGACCACTGCTCCAGCACCACTCCTGCTCTTCCCAGAGCAAGTACCAGCGCGAAGAGCGCCCAGCCCGACGGCAAGAGGCTCGCGGTGCGACACTCCCCTCCCCCATCAGGCATCACGCCAACGATGACGACGACTGCTTCCGCCTCCTCGCCACCACCACCGTCGCATCCCCCTGCCAGGTGAGGCCGTGCTGGAGCACTGGCGTGTCAGCCTCGTTGGCGGGACCGTTGCGAAGACGGCGGCAACGGCGAGCGGAGGGGGGACGGGACGGCGGGCTGTAGAGGGGCGGCGGCGGCTGATCCGCTCGTGAGAAGGAGAAGATAGAGGAACTGGGCCGCTTCGCTCGGGAGAAAGGCGCAGCGCTCGGGCCCGAAACGTTTTTTTCACTTACGTTCGGGCTATTGAAGACTGCGGGTTGATTCTTAAAAAGCTCAGGGACATTTTTGCAAAAACGGCACGACGGTGAACCCGGAGACCCAATCCGTGCTTTATTATTAGGGAGAGACTAGAAAACATACCCGTGCGTTGCAACGGGAGGAAAAAATGTATCAGATGCCATTAGCTCAGTAAGCATGACTCAAAAACACATAAGCCCATGCCATCAATATCAATATTGCACTCCATTCATGTTCCCTTGCCACTCATGGCCTCCAGAGCGCTCCTTGTGGCTGAGCCTAGCCGCTGGCTCGACATTGCCGTAGCATTCATGTTGAGCACTGGCCACGCCGGCCTGAATATTTGCCCTGTGAGCTCTTCCTCAAACCTCAAGTAATTTTAAATTTCCACTTCAAAAAATTAAATTAAACATTAAGTATATGTAAGTCTTAAATTCAATCAAAATATAGTTTTGAAACTCAAGTAATTCTAATATTTTTTGGAACAAAAGAAGCTTAATTTTGAGTTAAAAACTTAAAATAAGTAAGATTTATTTGTACTATTTAAGAGGTGTACTGCT